CTGGGCTGTAGAATGATCATGAGCAGCGTAGTAGCTTCCCGTGGAGTGGTCCCCGGTTCGATTCCCGGTCTGGGCTAAAATAGAGTTGCAGCTTTCCTTTAAAATCCTCTCAGTTCGTGTAGCTGTGTGTTGAAGAAAAACCAAAGCAGGTGGATCTTGCTAGTTATGGTGGAGGGGAACGTCATTTTTGCAACAAGTCGCTCTTATCCACAAGCATGGGAGCGGGCTGGCAAAGTCGGACTCTCAATAAATATATACTTATTATACATACATATGTACATATATACATATATATTCACATATATACAAACACATGTTATTTACACAATAATATGTTCTATAAGAATTTGCGAGACCGAATTCAAGCAATTTGCATTTAATTCTTCCCCCAAAAATTCAATTAATTAGTATATGTAACACAACTGCACAAATACTTGGAACGCAAAGTAAAATGTTACAAAGGTTCGACCATCTCATTGCATATTCAATGCCGCCCACGTGCTCGCATTAGTGCTTGCAAGCAGCGGAGAACGGCTTGATGTGGTCGGCTCGCCCGCAGAAGCTCAGAACTGCACAGTGGTGCGGGCTTTAGAGTTAACTCACTGTAATACGCTTTTCCGTGTGTGCTATGAAAAACAAATAATAAATGCACCTAAAGCTGGGTAGTTTGAAATGACGGTCACGTAATCTACTTAATTTTTTTGAATACTGGCATCGAGCGATTCTCTTCTTCATTAATTAGTTGCGCGGGACATAATCTCTCTTGTGAAAAAATAATTGTAAAAAAATTAAAATAATTGTCTCATTTTCGAGATACGTAAATTAATATCGTTTACTAATATTTTAATAGTGATAATCACAATTAAATGCATTGGTTTATTAAATATACAATTATATTTAAAGTAGTAGTTGAATTGGAGTGTCGTGACCTGTTGTGCAATAGAGAAGTAGAGAAGATAAGTGTAAGTGTAGTGAAGTGTAGTGTATTTATTAGTTAAACATTCCGTGCAGGACAGTCATGAAGTGAATAGGTAATGCTGTTATTGATATTATTGTTATATTATTGTTATTATTGCCTTAAAATGCTTTAAAATTACAGTGCATTACCATTCTTAGTTGTAATAGGTAAATTGTAATGTTCTGCCACCAGGTTGTATACCTACCTGCAGAAATAATAAATCTATCTGTTCGAATACACCGTGTCTCTTTTTCGTGCCACTGCGCCTCGGTGTATGTAGTGTGTTCGTGAAAACGGCGTGCTAGCCGTGGGAGTGCGCTGTCCGCAGGCGTCATGAAGACTCCCAATCGATTGGGAACAATGCCAAGCACCGATAATTTCTGCTATTTGCTTGGTCACGAGAGGCTGGTTGTGAACCGTCACATGCATATTTATAGTCACATGCGCGATCGCTCATACAGATAGGCGATTGTGACGCAATCTCGATCTCTCTCTCTCTCTCTCTCTCTCTCTCTCTCGCATCAGGTTACCTCACGCACGCACGCACGCACGCACGCGCGCGCGCGCGGTTGTCAATTTGGTCGTCATTTCGCAATTTTTGAAGATCGTAATTACTGTGCGAGACTATTCGGCTTAAATGTTACAGATATCACACATATATTTTGACAGAAGTAGGCGAAAAATTATGATAACAATAATTCAGTTAAGTTACATTTTTGAGAAGTCCGGAAATCAAAACAACGTAAAACACAAAAAGCAAGATACATCGTGCGAGTACATAGTACATAGTTGTAAAATAGGAACGATGCTCTGTATATCTGATTAGTGTGTATAATCATTTCCAGATGAATTTTAGGTGTCATCTGGAAAAGATAGTTCGCAAGATCTGCTCCAATCCTGTTCAAGAATCTCAAGCCATACCCAACCCTCTTTTATCATTTTCTTGCTATACTTTGTCTTGAAATGGGCTTTACCTTCAATGTTTTTTTTGATATCAGAGACCAGCAGTACGTGTGAGATTACAGGTATCCATCAGTCTCCTAATTGTGCAAAATCCTGTCATATTAAACTTTTTCTATTAATTATTGCTTTCGAACTTGTTTAGTAATTATAATGGCATAAATAAATAACTTTATCGTTAGTATGGTTTATGTAACATTTGTGTATAAATAAAATACGTGGAATGAAAATATTCATTGTACTGTAAAAATAGAGTCCAATAAATTTCAGATATCAGACATTAAAAATAGTCTAGATTGAATGAATACTTTGAACACATTTTTGAAATTCTTGAATATAGGTTTTTCAATTAAAGACTTCCAATCTCTGCTCTCACGTTTTCTGTTATTTCCCTACATCCCGAACATTCACAGATTTTCTTTAAGTGACGAAATATTTTTAGCCCATATATTTCTTTAATGAGGATTATAAATTTACGCTAACACATTAATGGTTTAGGTAAAGTTCATTTACGTTTTTGCAAATATTGAACCATTTTATTACCTCTCAAGATGATCTAAGTAATAATAGGGGAATATTTAATAAGAAACTTGTTGCTCGACTCCTCTTTAGCTTATATTAAGAAGAAAGACAATCAAGGGACAAGAATGTAAGCAGCATCTAACAATTGTGACG